TATTATCATTATTATTATTATTATTCTGAGACACAGTCTCACTCTGCTGCCCAGACTGGAATAGAGTGGAACAAGCATAGCTCATTGCAACCTCAACCTCCCTGGTTCAGCAAACCTCCTACCTCAGCCTCCCAAGTAGCGGAGACTAAAGTTGCATGCCACCATGCCCAGCTAATTTTTAAATATTTTGTAGAGATGGGGGTCTCACTATGCTATCCAGGATGGTCTTGAACTCCTGGACTCGAGTGATCCTCCTGCCTTGGCCTCTCAAAGTGCTGGGATTACAGTTGCAAGCCACCATGACTGGTCTGTTATTATTATCATTATTATTTGCCTTTTCTGGAGAAAAAAAATCCAAGCAGAGAGAGATCAAACGACTACCCAGAAATTAGCCCAGGATTCTAACATTAAATTCTACAACTCTCTCTGAAGTCATGAAATTTTTTTTTTTTTTTAGGCGGAGTTTCGCTCCTTACCCAGGCTGGAGTGCAATGGTGCGATCTCGGCTCACCGCAACCTCCGCCTCCCGGGTTCAGGCAATTCTCCTGCCTCAGCCTCCTGAGTAGCTGGGATTACAGGCACACGCCACCATGCCCAGCTAATTTTTTGTATTTTTAGTAGAGACGGGGTTTCACCTTGTTGACCAGGATGGTCTCGATCTCTTGACCTCGTGATCCATCCGCCTCAGCCTCCCAAAGTGCCGGGATTACAGGCTTGAGCCACCGCGCCCAGCCAGTCATGAAAAATTTAATGTCTCTTTCTTTAGCTGTAAACATCTGTTCTCTAACCTGCCTACATAAGGGACATTGCTGATGATAAAACCTTTGTGAAGAGGCTGTGCTGTCATTATGAGAGTGCTAGCATTATTATTGAGGCAATGCTTTTTCCAGAAATACTAAATAGATGCTCACATTCTCATGCAATACCACAAAGCCTTTAAGAAGTTTACAGAGGCTCATCAGCTAAGGAACCCTCCTATATGTTCACAATAGACAATAATGCCAAAGGAATCCTCTCTCAAAGAAGAAAGGTCTCTTTCTGACACCCTCTTGCAATTCTTTCAAGGTTTGGGGGATGGCACACTTCTTTCTTATAAAATGGTTCCCCATTGCGAATAATAGCTGGGCTCTTGTCCCTATACCAGCCACTCCCACAAGGGTCAAACCAGAGGACCAAGCCATCTCAGAGATGGGGTTTTGAATCTGGGAGGCAGCAGATAGAGAAATAGATAGCGAATACATCTGTTTTCACAGAGCCTGTTGTTCTCTGTACTAACTGCTATAAAAACGACATGAAACTAGCCACACATTAGTTTTGGTTCTCGTGACTAAATCAAGGAATGACATGATGGTGCTGTGTCATTAGAAATGAAACCAGTTCTTAAGCAAGAGAATAGGGCCAATATTTTAATAAGCTGAACGATTTCATAGAAAAATCAAAGCTGAAACTTCTACACCCTAGCCCTGAACACCTGCTGCTTAAGTTGGTTCTGAACCAGTGAAACTTCCGCCTTGTCATGAAGACATGGGGAGGGCCCTGACTTGCCCAGCACTCAAGGTGGCTGGAGACATCTTCTTTCCATCTGCTGCCTGCTAAGTGGAAACGGGGCTCAATCTTGGCTTCGACAGTGCTGACTGTATGTGGCACTTTAAGAAAAGTCCCTCATATTTATTTTTCTTTCAAATATGTAACCTCATATGATGTATCCTCTAATATATGAATTTGACCTTCCCTGAGGTATTATCGTCCACATTTTTTCAGATGAAGAAATTGAGACTTAAAGACCTAAGTGACTTAGCTAGAAGCAGGCAGAGCTGGGGTTCCAAACAAAAGCGTTCTTATCTGGATCTGCACTGCCTCAAATTTGGCCTGCATCACAATAATAATGACGTTGAGGTGGTAAACATCCACAGGTTGCCCTCCACACATCTGCTGCCCCCTTTCCTGCCACAGCACCCAGCTTTTACCTGGAGGGAACCCCCTCCTGCACACTGCCTCTCCTTTCTCTAGCAGGTGGATATAGCCAGCTCCAAGGGGCAGGTCCTTCTATGCTTAGGTCAATCAGAGTACCCATCATCTGGCCAGGTGATTGGCTCAGGGGTGGGCTCATGGGCTGAGTCAGAACCATGAGGTTTGAGGAAACGTTCACTCGTGCTTCTGGGAAAAATTCCTCAGTCCTCTGTTGTCATAGGGTGGGGACAATCCCTCTTTTCTTGGCTGGTATATTGGAGAACACAAAGTCCAAAATCCCTCAGCCACTTGTGCCATCAAGAGAGGTGCCAGCCTGAACATGAAGCCAGCACAGGGATGAGACAGCCCTTATGAACAAAACAGACCTGGCGCTTGGATCGTGAAGAAGGTGTAAATTCCAGATCAAGCTGTGGGGCTTTCAGGCTGTGAGCCGATGCAATCCCTTGGTTGGCTTAAGCTGGTTTGCGTTTGATTTTCTGTCACATGGAAATGTTTAACCAATGGGAACACTTGCTGGTGCCGCTCTCAGTAACATCTGATTGTCACTTTGGTTTCTCAATCAATAGCATAAAACCCATTTGACCAAAATGACTAATCCTCCAAAATTCATCAGCATCTCTGGAGCACAGTCGTTTCCAATGCCCACTTGACTTTCCGGACAGGACCCTCGTTTCTGTATTCCTGAGGTCTGGCTTCTTCCATTTTCTGCTCCAGCAGAGCTCAGTCTAGGTCAGTTCTCCTTCAGGTTCCACCAGTGACAAGTGACAGCTGCAGTCTGCTGAGGAAACAGGAGCACGGGCAGCCAGCTACAGATGCTGGTATCAGCCTGACGAAAAAAGCGATGCCAAAAAAGCGTTTGGCCACAATGTATTTTTGTTTGTTTTTGAGACAGGGATTCCCTCTGCCGCCCAGGCTGGCATGCAATGGCGTGATCAAGGCTCACTGCAGCCTCAACCTCCCGGGCTCCAGGGATCCTCCTGCCTTAGCCTCCTGAGTGGCTGGGGCTACAGGCCTGCACCACCACACCCAGTTAATTTTTGTATTTTTTTGTAGAGATAGGGTCTCGCCATGTTGCCCAGGCTGGTCTCAAATTCCAGGCAAGTAATGTCTGCCTCGGCCTCCCAAAGTGTTGGGATTACTGGTGTGCACCACTGTGCCCAGCTTCACACAATATATAGTTAATAGAATGTAAAACCAGTTGGGGGAAAGTTCTTTGGAACACATGAACCACATACACTATTACCTCTCCAGCTCTTCATCAGAATGCTGAATCCCAGAAGTTTTGGGACCTCTCTGAAGACCTCTATTTGCTGTGGGTTGACTCTCCCAGAAGTTCAGAGATATGGCATCAGAGATTATAGAGTCACATGAGATTCAGAATCTGTAATAAAAACTGGTTTTTGTGATTTTACTCAATCTCAGTTTCTCTAGAAAGATTCTGTTATTTCCACTTCTGGCCAATATGACTAAGCACCAAGGTGGAAACACAGTCTCAAGTGTTGAAAGAGCCCTGTAACTACCCTCTATAGTCCGAGGTGAGAAAGAAAGCATAATGAGTATGGCGGGCCAGATGTGTAAAGGACATCCCTCTTTCCCTGTCCATTTCCCCCATACTCAATCTACAGCGAGGCCATTTTCCAAATGTGTCTTCGCTCATCCATTTCTCTCCACGTTTACTGGAATTATGTAACTGATTCACTCTGTAAATGTGTATACTGAAGGTCTGCAGTGTCCCTGACGTTCTTCTATTGCCTGGGAGAAGCAGACTCACCACGGAATGTGAGCTGCACGTTCTAGGGACTCTTCTTGCTCGGACCAACATAAGCGCCTTCCTTCTGCATGCCCCTGCTTCCTCTTTTCCTGTCTTCTTCCATTTTCCACATTGTAGCCCAAAAGGTCTTTTCAAACCATCACTACTTCCTTGTCAAACGGCTTCCCATCACTCCTTCAGTGAAACACCCTGCAGCCGCCTCAGCCCTGCTGGGCAGCCCCGTGCCTCCTGCATCTTTGGCCTGTTCTCACATCCCATGTTCATTCCTCACAAGTGCCTCCTTTCAGATCCTTAAGCATGTGCAAGGTTTTTTTTTTTCTTTCTTTCTTTTCAGAGCTTTTAATCTGCTTTTATTTCTGCCTAAAACAGTAGCTTCCAAATTTGGGGGGAGGGCATAATTCCCATTAAGAAATACATCTTATATAATGAACCAGTAAATACATCAACACATGCCTATACATAAAAGAAAAACGTGTTTTATAATACTTCCGGTATTTTCTATTCCTTTTTTTTTTTTTTTTAAGCTAGTCATGATCCACTGACTGCAATTTGAAGAGACTTCTTTCTCTGTTCTTTAAATGGCTGGTTCTTTCTCATCTTTCAGCTTTCTACCTAAATGTCAGCCACTTACAGGGGCTTTCTCCAACCACCTGATCTAAACCAGGCGCCTGACTGGGGTTACTTTTATTCTCAGCCTCTTGTCCCCTCTCTTTAGGAAATGTAGCAGAGTTGTAATAAAATATTTCATCATTGAGATTTGCTCTTTGTCTACCTCGCAAACCACATGGTTGGCTTTTGAAGGCAGGAACTTTATCTGCTTTGTTCCCCATGGTATATCCAGCTTGGGTTCAATAATTAGCAACACAGCAGGATATAAATAAAGATTCATTGACCAACTGAGTTAGTGAGTGGGTATGTGAGGCTAAGGCCTGGATTTAAAAAGAAGACTCCCCGGTAAAAGGAATAAGTCTCTTGGAGAAATGGCCAATTCTAAGGCTGGAACAAGAAATATACAAGTAATGCTAGAAAGTAAGGAAGTGCTCAGAAAACAAAAGAAAGGGGCCATGTGAAAGGCACAGGGGCCAAGCTGAAAGCTCCCAGTGGCCAAAGCCAGAACAGTCTGAGCAACAACCAACCAACCTACCATCAGACTGCAACCCCAAACACGAGAGTTCATACTGATATAAACAAACGGTTTTCTAAATAATGGAAGAGACACATCTTCTTTTTCTTTTCTTTTCTTTCTTTTTTTTTTATCAGCCCCGCAGAAACAGGGCCTCAAAAAATTGGATTAAGACTCAGAATTGTTCCTCTCCACAGAAATCTTTAGCAAAAGGTGAAAGATTTATATGATTTTGAAGAGAAACCAGAGTATAGAGATAAATCTTCTTTACAGAAAAATTTCAAATAATTTGTGTTGATACAGGTTGCGCATCCCTAATCTAAAAACCCCAAATCCAAAACGCTGCCAAATCTGAAACTTTCTGAGCACCAACAGATCACAAACGGAAAATTCCACACCTGACCTCATGTGACAGGTCGCAGTCAAACACAGTCAAACCTTTGTTTCATGCACAAAATTATGCAAAATACTGTAAAAATTACTGTTGGGCTATGTGTATAAGGTGTACATAAAACATATATGAATTCTGTGTTTAGACTTGGGTCCCAGCCCCAATGTATCTCATCATGTATGTGCAAATATTCCAAAATCCAAGCAAATCTGAAATCTGAAGCATTTCTAGTCCTAAGCATTTTAAAAGAGGGATACACATCCTGTATACCCTCAAAAAGATATAGCTTATTCTCCCCATCCCACGGTACCCTCTTCAGGGGAGGAAGTGCTGCCCTCAGCGATTCCTTCTGAACAACGGAGTAGGGAAACAGTGGGGAAACCTGGCAGACAGTACCTCGGTCAGGCGGTCAAGGTGGACCTCCCCAGTGCTGCCATGTGATAGCATGTCCTGCCGATGTAATGTGGTGAGCAGGGCATTTCACCTCGGTGGTCTTCCCCTAAATAACCCATATACCCACTGTGACATGACATGAGCATCAAACTGAAATAGAGGAGCGTTCTCCAAAATATCTGAACGAGTACTCCTCAGATCTGTCAAAACTTCATGAAGCATAACTAGAATCGGTCACAGAACAGGGAGATTAAGAAGACATGACAACTACACACAATGTGGTATCCCAGATGGAACTCTGGACAGAAAAAGGAAAGTAGTGGAGATACTAAGGAAATCAGAATAAACTATGGACTTCAGTTAATAATGATGTATCAGTACTAGTGCATCGATTGTGACAAATGTACTACAGTCATGTTAGATCTTAGCAAAAGGAAGAGCTGGGGAAGAGCTATATGGGAAACTCTGTTAATATCTAAGAAAGTTTTCAGTGAATATAAAACTGTTCTAAAATTAAAAGTTTGGCCAGCTGTGATGTGTCATGCCTGTCATCCCAGAACTACACAGAACAAAGTGGGAGGATCGCTTGAGCCCAGGAGTTTGAGACCAGCCTGGGCAACATGGCAAAACCCCATCTCTACGAAAAATGGAAAAATAATTAGCCAGGCATGTTGGTGCACACCTGCAGTCCCAGCTACTCGGGAGGCTAAGGTGCAGGGTTCGCTTGAGCGTAGGCAGTTGAGGCTGCACCGTTTGCGCCACTGCATTCCAGCCTGGGTGACAAAGAAAGACCCTGTCTCAAAAAAAAAAAAAAAAAAAAGTTCACTTAAAGAAAGTTGAACCTTATTAACAAGAGCAGGACCTTTATTCAGTTGTTTTATGGAGCACCCCCAAAGCACTACAAATCCTGCCGGGCACAAAGATACTTAAAAACACTTGGAAGATGCGTAGATTAATTTAGACAAGGGAAGGCATCTTGACTGGTGAAAATCATGAGCAAAGCACAGGGCTTTACAGGTTGTGGGGGCGGGGAGTGGGCAGAGAAAGTGAGAGAGAGAGAAAGGAGTATGAGAGAAAGTGATGACAAGGATGAGAAAGAGACAGACTAGTTGGTTTTGTGAGGTGGAGTCTGATATTGCCCACTGAATGTAAGCTCCATGAAGGCAGGAACCTTGTCTATATTTAATCATCATGTCTCTAGTACCTAGAACTGTGCCTGGAACTTAGTAAATATTTAAAAATATGTGTTGACTAGATGAATGACTAGATAAATGGATAAGGAGTGTCTGCTGGAGGCCCCACTGGAATCTCATAGCAATTTTTTGTTACGTTAGGTCTCTCAGATGCCTACTGGATTTGCATTTTTGTACACAGTAATTATGTGTACATCATTACAAAGCATGCAAATGTTAGCATTGGTTTTGAATGGCCGTAATGTTCATCCACAGGCATAGAAGTCCCAGGACATAAACTTAGTTCCTTGAAGCACTTCTTGAAGGTGTTAATGGGTAGGTCTACTGACAAGCAGAAGTGAACAGCAACTTCTCCCAGCTCTGTTCTAGTGTCCTGTGAAACGCAGCAGGGGCTCATAGCACCATGGGATACAGTTAGTGGAGGCGTCAAAGCTTTCCAGATGGTCTCTGGAAATGTAGGGAGACAGTTTAGAGGGACACTGAATTGCCCTGTAGGCATCCAGACATTCCTCCTTAATGGTCCTAAATGCTAAACATACTCACTTGCATATAACTTCATGAAAAAAATTCAAATGTTGGAAAAATTTCGATAATTTTTTTTCAAGACTGCTCAGTTACGCAGCTATCAACCATAACAGAGTAGATTATGTATACCAATATGAAATCATCTCTAAAATATACAAAAAGAAAAGAAGAATTCTTGAACAGTGAGTACACTACGTCACTATCCCGAGTGTGCACATGGTCACGTGCATAAACACATCATAATGCCTAGCAGCTCTCTGAAAAATATACAAGAAACTGCTTAACACAAAGGAGTTCTGTGAAGAAGAGACGGGATAAGGAGTTCTGTGAAGAAGAGACAGGAAGGGGTGGGAGGGGGGGGAAGGGGAAGGGAGGGAGGGAGGGAGGGGAGAGAGAGAGAGAGAGAGAGAGAGTGAGTTTCACTTTTGAATTTTGTGCATGTACTGTCTATTTGAAAGTAAAACATAAATGAAAAAGAATGACTCCAAAGGAAGAAAACTTGGAATTTTGGCTACAGGTTACAAGAAACTCTTTCTTTTGATTTATGCTTGGATTCTCTTTGAGCCTTTTGCTTTCTGTGAGATCTAGCACACGGTTTGGTGGGTAGACCAATGAGCCTGTGAAGAGCTCATTTTAATAGCATATTTGAACATGGTTTTACATGAACTGCCAGAAATGCACTGATGGGACTGAAAAGAAAGGCCTTCATCATGATTAATAAATTCTAGGGTGCGCACAGTGGCTCATGCCTGTAATCCCAGCACTTTGGGAGGCCGAGGTGGGCAAATCACCTGAGGTCGGGAGTTCAAGAGCAGCCTGACCAACCAATTTAGTACAGATGGAGAAACCCCATATCTACTAAAAATACAGAATTAGCAGGGTGTCAGGCGCATGACTGTAATCCCAGCTACTTGGGAGGCTGAGCCAGGAGAATACCTTGAACCGGGGAGGCAGAGGGTGTGGTGAGCCGAGATTGAACCATTGCACTCCAGACTGGGCAACAAGAGCCAAACTCCATCTCAGGAAAATAAATAATAAATAAATTCTAAACTAGGAATTAAAGAAATAATCCTACAGTTAAGTTGTAAATAGCACACTTGCATAATACAGTTATGGGCTACGTAATGACACTTTGATCAACGACAAAGTGCATGCCTGACGATGATCCCGTAAGATTGCAATACTGTTATTTTTATGGTACCTTTCTATGTTTAGATACAAAAATGTTTACCACTGCATTACCACTGCCTACAGTATTCAGTACAGTAACATGCTGTACAGGTCTGTAGCCTCAGAGCCATAGGCTACACCAGATAGCTCAGGTGTGTAGTAGGCTACACCATCTAGGTTTGTGTAAGTTCCTTCTATGATGCTCACACAATAATAAGATCACCACCCCTCATGATGCATTTCTCAGAACGTATCTTTGTTAACTGACACGTGAATGTATGGTGCTTTTCTGTTAAAAAGCATGACTTTGTTTAACATAAACATTTAAAAATCATATCTAAACCATTAGTAATGAATCATACTAATATAATACCCACAAAATATTTTAAGAAAATATTTCTTTTTAAAATTCCTTTTGAATCAACAAATAGATCCCTCAAATAAATGATTAGTAATTAACTACAGATAGCTATTTTATCAATATCACATTCTGCATTTAAGCAGTTTTCTATTTTCTTACATTCCAAAACCATGCAGTTTCAAATTCCAAAGGTAACTCCTTGCTTAGTATTGAGGGAGTTAATGCTTGAGATACACATTAAGCATTTTTAATTTTAATTTTTTAGAGACAGGGTCTTGTTATGTTGCTCAGGCTCACCTCAAATTCCCCATCATAAGGGATCCTCCCACCTCAGCTTCCAGAGCATCTGGGACTACAGGCACCACTGCACCTGACTCACGGAAGCATTTTGTTATTTAAAACTAGAATGCTTTTGTGAGACGTATTTTGATCACATTTTATCTACCTTCAGGAAAAAAGACGTTCAATTTTTCTTACAGATTTCACTGGAAGGTTAAGCCAAGTGTAAAACATTTATATTCAGTTGTCATTTTTAAAAAGAGGGAATAAAAGGCTTAATAAATGTAAAAATGAAAAAAGAATCTAAGACCTGCAGCTTAGGTGTTTGTAGGAAGTGATTTTAGGCCCTGATCCACTTAATTAATCAAAATCTTGCAAGTGCTGATTCCAGTGCCTGTTAAAGTTTGAGAATCTCTGGGCTAAGAAACCCTTAGTATGTTCAAATTCAGGTTATATTCTTAGTGAACCCTGTATAGAATCTTTAGTAATAAGGACAGTATGTTATTTTTGAAATCAACTTAGGAAGAATGCCTGTAATAATTGTTTACATCCTCCTTCTTACTTGTGAAACATTCTTCCTCTTTTCTCTTTTTTTTTTTTTTTTTTTTGAGACAGAGTTTTGCTCTTGTTACCCAGGCTGGAGTGCAATGGCACGATCTCGGCTCACCGCAACCTCCTCCTCCTGGGTTCAGGCAATTTTCCTGCCTCAGCCTTTTGAGTAGCTAGGATTACAGGCACGTGCCACCATGCCCAGCTAATTTTTTGTATTTTTTTTTTTTTAGTAGAGACGGGGTTTCACCATGTTGACCAGGATGGTCTCGATCTCTTGACCTCGTGATCCACCCGCCTCGGCCTCCCAAAGTGCTGGGATTACAGGCGTGAGCCACCGTGCCCGGTCCTCTCTTTTTTTTTTTTTTTTTCTTGAGATGGAGTTTTGCTC